GCTTAGCTCATAATGTCGCCATGAGGCTGAAGAGCTCCAAGTTCTCCGGTGATATTGGAGAATGCTGGATGGATTATGTCGACGAGTATTCGCAAATATCTCGCGACTATGGACTGTCACAACAGCAAAAATTCCAGTTTCTCCACAACCTTCTTTCGAAGAATGCTAAGCGATTCTATCTGGAACGTGTTCAGATGTATGCTCAAAGTTACCAGCAGGCGGTAGATATGGTGAATCAAGAATACAATTCACCTGTGCGTCAGACAAGGGTGAAGAACTATCTAAACTCCCTACGTGTTTCAAACTTCGTTAAGGAAGGCTTTGAAATATCAACAGCATTAGCTAAAATATATAAGCTAATAACGAAACTATCGCGTCAGGTACCACCATCACATCGCAGGGACTCACACAAGATCGAGTTCCTAAGGAACGCTGCAGTTGGATACGGTTGGTCTCGTGAACCGTTAAGCCGAGTGGCAACCCATAACTTGTCATTCCAGATGCTATACGGGGAACTAGAAGCTGCGCTGCAGTTAGACAAGGAGGCTGATCTGGCTTTGGCACGTGACCACTGCTGGACCTAGGTCCTCTATTGCGAAGGATGACTCATTGGGGGTACTGTACACTGGACAGGGTCGCTACGGTAAACATCCGAGGTATGTTAGATCAAAGGCAACTGGATATTCCTCACAGAAAAAGAAACCGCTGGACATCGCAGGTTGCTTTAATTGCGGAGACCCAAATCACATGCTCAAGGATTGTTCGAAACCCATAAATGCGTCCAGAGCTGCCACAATGAGACTCGAGTACTACAAGAAAAAGGTCGACAGAAAACATGCTGTACATTTGGTTCTAGCTGAGCTGTGCCAACAGATCGACAAAGGATTTGCCGAGTCAGACGATGAGTCCGGAGAACGCGACGATGTCGAGATATTCCGCCTTGCGTTGAGCGAAGACGTCGCCCAAGCATCTGGCCCCACGTTACTCGATCACGAGAGTGATTCTGATATCGACTTTGCAGAGATATTCGTCTTATCACGCTCTTGGGACTCTCCGGCTAGCGATCAGTTTGAAGGTGCCTGTGTTGACTCAGGAGCCCAGAAAACTGTAATCGGATACCAGCAAGCTGAAGCTTACTGTGCATTAGTCAACAGCGAACTTGACAGGGAACTTAATGGAAAACGTTTGATCTTTACTTTCGGATCAAGCAAACACGAGCGGATCGGACAACTTACCGTTCGTATCCCGGTTTCCAATTCATTCTTTCTCTCCATTGTGGCCGACGTCGTTGATGTGGATGTTCCGTTCTTACTAGGACTGGACGTTCTGACCAAAGCACGTCTAATAATGGACTTTGAGGATGACGTGATGATATCAAAGGCTGATGGATGGAATATACCACTGACAAGGAAGCATGGTCATGTGTACATCGAATGGTCTTTGAATATTTTGTTCACAATGTCTGAATTACGCAAAGTTCATCGGCATTTTTATCACCCTCGTCCCGACAAAGTTTATGCCTTGATGCGCCGTGCGGACCCCTCTAATGTATCATCTGATGTCATGGGAGACCTACAGAAGATCACAGATACTTGCGACGTTTGCCAGCGCGAGGCTAATGCTCCCCATAGGTTCAGAGTATCTATGCCCGAAACTGATTGCGTATTCAATCGCACTGTTTGCGTTGATCTCATGACCCTTGATGGAAAAACAGTGTTTCATGTCGTAGACAAGGATACAAAGTTTAATGCCGCATGCTTCCTTGTTGGAGAGTCTACAAAAGATGTATGGGACGTTTTCATGGACATATGGGTGTCTCGGTACGTTGGATTTCCTGACAAGATATCCGCTGACCAGGGACCACAATTCAAGTCTACTGAATGGAAGAATCTTCTTAATACTGCTGGGATTAAGGAACAACCTTCAGGCGTCGAGAGCCATAATGCTATTGGCGTGGGTGAAAGATACCACTCGTATCTAAGACGTGTTTACAACGAAGTACGTTCCGATAATTCTCAGACTAAGCCGAGGCTGGCACTTCAGCTGGCTGTTAAAGCTGTCAATGACACAGCTGGGCCTTCGGGACTCGTCCCCACGCTTCTAGTCTTTGGCATACTCCCCGGTCTTCCTATTACCCCTAAAGAACTCCCTGAACATGCCGCGAGGATGAAGGCTATGGACGTTGCTTGCAAGGAGATGGTTCAAATTTCAAGTCAAGCTAGACTGGGAACCGCTCTCCGCAGTAACGTGGCGTCTGCCGCTGACAAGTCTTACTCAGTTGGAGACGAGGTACTGATGTACCGTGAGAAACCTATTGGCAAGTGGGTTGGTCCATACGTCGTCAAAGATAAGGAAGGTAAGATGTTGACGCTAGACACTGGAGATCGGAGCATCCGGGCATCTATTGACAAATTGAAGAGATACAAAGTCAGTGATGGGGCTCTTCCGCAAACTGATAACGATCCTTCTGATCATATCTCTGATAATGCTGGACAAACACCAAATGAAAATGTTATAGCTGAAGGTGACGATTTTTTGATGGATCATCCACTGGAAACTACGGTTGTGACAGATAGCTCTACGTCTCTTGAAAAGGATCTCTTCGATGAAGAATTGCTCGATATCATGAAAGAAATACGCGAATCTGAGCTCAGTAGGCTCGATGAGAATACTCTCCACTCTATCGACCCCATAAGTCTTGGAGTTGCTTTCATCGGAATTCACATCACAGAGGTGTTGAAATCCGGAGACTTGCGTGGAAATTCAAATGGTTTCAGGAAAGCAAAGCTAGCTGAAATAAGGGGGCTGAAAGATCGAAAAGTGTGGAAGGTAGTTCCCAAGTCATCTGTCCCAGCCGATGCAAATGTACTTGGCGGTCGATTTGTTCTTGCTATTAAGAACATAGGAACGGAGGACGAAAAGGAGAAGGCCAGATATGTCGCACAAGGTTACAAGGACAAAGATAAACCATATATGGTTCAGATATTCCAGCATTACGTGCTTCATCGATCAGACTTATAATATCTGTCGCGGCAATCAAAGGGTTCCGTGTCTTCTCACATGATGTGAATCAGGCATATACACAAAGCAAAGATAAGCTAAGTCGAAAGATATTCCTTTTACAAAAAAAGGAGGATCTGGAGTTAATTGGAATAACTGATGAAGAGCTCCTGGAGCTGTTAATTCCCTTATACGGTGTTTGTGACGCTGGTGACTACTGGGGTGTAACGTTGGAATTTCACGTCACAGAAGACTTAAGTATGACGCCTACCACTGTAGATCCTGCATTATATGTCAAGGTATCTGATGGTGAGACTGAAGGCGTAATGGGAATCTACGTCGACGACAACCTCAATGCAGGCAATGAGAAGTTTGAAAAGATAACTGCTGAAACACTCGAGAAGTTTGACGCAAAGCCGCGAGTCTACGACAATTTCGATTTCTTTGGCACAATGATAACAACCACATCCCCAGGCGAGTTCTTTCTCTCACAAGAGAGGCACGCCAAAAGATTACCCATCGCTCCAAAGGGCTGCTCATTTGATCATTTTCGAAAGCATCGAGCAAAGCTTTCATGGATGGCACATTCCCGTCCTGATCTATGCTGCAGTATCAACAAAGCTGCCCAGGTGACAGAAGATACAATGTCCGATGACAAAGTCAAGGCATTTAATCATGCAGTGAAGATTGCTAAAGGCAGCGATGTTAAGGGGCTTCGGTTCGGGAAACTTGATGTTGACACGCTTGTTCTGAAGTGCTACGCGGATGCAGCTTTTGCAACAAACGATGATCTATCATCTCAACTTGGATACATTATATTGATTTGCGACATGAACGCTCAATGCCATATTCTGGATTACTCGAGCAAGAAGTCCAAAAGAGTTGTACGATCCATCATGAGTGGCGAAGTTTATTCGTTTGTGGATGGTTTTGACACTGCCTTTGTAATTCGGAAAGACCTGGAACTTATGCTAGGAACTAAGATTCAGCTACATTGCTTTACAGATTCGAAGCAGCTGTTTGACTCAGTCACAAAAGGCAGACAGACAACCGAAAAGAGGCTAATGATAGACATCGCTGGGGCGCGAGACGCATACAAATCCTTTGATATTACTCAAATTGGCGTCGTGTGCACAGATCTTAATCCTGCCGATGGTTTATCGAAAGTTGAGGACAATGGAGCACTGTCAAAGCTGCTATTCACTGGTATTGATCACTGTGAAGTGGAGCAGTGGATCACGCGCAATGAATCAAGCTCGCTATCTGAAGAGGTGGGAGTGTAATGGTGACGGGGTAGGAATGCACTCTCATATTCTTGACAATAGATGGCTAGAATATCGTGCTCGCTTGGTTCCGTTTAGTCTTTTATTTGAGTTTATTTTCAGGCGATTCAATCAACTTCTACTACTTTCCAGCTCCTAATAAAGTGAGTTCGTCCCTGGCTTGCGACCGCCGCTCGCTCACCGACGACTCTTTTTGCAGAAACCTCTTCTCTTTTTGCGCACTCTCCGCCGACGGACAGCGCCAAAGGAAGAAACAGGCCGGTCGAAGGCCTGTAGCGAACAGAGTCTCACAGTGTACGACAATGGCGTCCTGCGAGCGATCTTTCTGAGCAGTGATGCAAGGAAGTGGCCTGCAAAAAAGCCGTAAATCTCATTATCTAACAGTGCCTGGTTCGATATAGTGCCGTTTTCGGCCCACTGACACAGGGTAGCACTATATCGCGACCCCCCCCCCTGTACCATTAACAACTGCTGCCCTGTCACGCTTCGGAAGAAACAGTAGCGGTCCGCCCCCGGGTATCGCCCGCGTATCGGCCCCCGGCACCTCATACTGTACTGGTGATGCACCATTTGTCCTGACGACACTTGTCCTCGCAGACATGCCTGCACTGTAAGAAAGTTTAAGACACAAATTTACACGACCAAGTGCTTGCCCCACCGAACACGTCTACCACGTGTACATCTCATCTTTTAGACCACCAGCCCTTTCGACCGATCATGACCCATCAGCTCGTTGGGCATACGAGCGATTGTGCGAGCAACCTGACAGAATACCTGTCCGCTGCCCCTCTTGTCCATAACCAACTGTCGCACTTCCATGCCATAAGCTGCAAACCAGTCTTCGACCTTCTGTGCGACAGCCCCGTCCCACTTCTCATCTGTAGAGCGTTCGCGGCAACATCCCGCACTTCCCGAAGCATGACCTATCCAATCAATCCACCCACCCATCAGGTGATCACCCGTGATCCGTCCTTCGGACAAGTCATGTCCGCCTTTCGTGCCGGCGATTGGCAAAACCTCGCTCTCGCTACGGGTATCTCCATGCCATTTGGATACTGGGCCGGTACGTCATTCAACATGTTTCACACTTCGCCCTCAGTCTTATCGTTTTCTGTGGGAACGGAATAGTCTAACGCGTCCGCCGTCATATATTGGCGTGCTCGAATGATCTTCGTCAAATTAGGTCGACCAATCGTGATGCGACCGTCCATGTACGCAGCCGCTACCATCGGTGCCCTATTCGGCTTGTCCCTGGGCTTCCAATCCTCCTTCGCACGTCTCACAGGTTACAAGGAGAACGCCCTCGAGGTCGCAAAATATTCACCTAGTCAGTCAGCAGAGTCGACAGCATAGGCACCATTGGCAAGCTTGACTGTGTTTCTATATGATCAATTTCAAGCTCTTGCTTATCTTTATGCTTTGTTAGAGATTATCTACGCCGTCAATAACCATCCTGTGTAATGTCCACGTCCACGTCTCACTTCAAAAATTCTTGCTCCACTTCTCGACAAACCGTTTCTCTGTCAACGGCTGTCGCCCACATCTTCGGCATTCCATTTCGAAGAAGAAGCGCTGCCGCATATCGACCCACAAATTCTTTGTCAAATCGAGTTGGAGGATTCCCTGGTAATACAGTTAGACCACCCTTCAACCGCAACGGAGGCCTAAACGCATTTTCCACTGATTGATCCGATTCCGTCCACAACTTAGTCAACGTCGACGCCAGAGGCTGGAATGGCGTTAGCTCATTCCCCGCTGGTTCTCTGGATGTGGATTCCTCACCAAAGAAGAAACATCGCTCGTAACCATAGTCGGCGGGAGAGAGTAAAGTGGTTAAATCCAAAAACTTAAGAGCCGCAATAGTAGCGTGCAGATTGGCTGTCGGGTGCGATGTTATCCGGAAAATCTCTGACAGGGTCGTAGCTCGAAAAGCCGTTATTGCTGATGGTCCAATCCGCAGCAATAACACTCGTAGACATAGCAGGCATTCCACAACTAATCCGGAATCTGTCATACGAAGAGCGTCGCGCAGCCTCTCTAGCACTGACGGCAACTGTGGCGAATAGAAGTCAGGTTCGGAGACAAATACGCAGTAGGCAATCCTTCGTATCGCCCTGCCTCGAAGCACAGTCTCGGAGTCGCGTCCAGAAAACAAACTTGGAATTCCTGGAGCTCCGTTCATCGAAGATAACCCAATTGAGGAAAACAGCGCAGATGCACCTCCACCAGCCACAACTTCACGCACGATGGCAGACGTTTTTTCTAGAACACCCCCCTGCTTCCCAAAGAAGAAGTTTGTATCTTCCAGCAGCGCTAAAAGCTCTCGACGAGCAAACTTAACACCCCAATCTCGGTTGCTTACACTAAGTATAACTTCTGTGGCTGCACTTGAAGCCATAGTCTCCAGAGTGTTTTCAGCGCGACGTCGCGGGGATGGCTCACGAATGGAACTACGACTCCTTCTCGAATTATCTGCTGCACTGTGAACGGAGGATGCTCGCGAGGCATTCTTTTTGAGAGCCGATACAGCGGGCGACAGGCTTGCTGTAATAGTGCTGGATAGCTGTGGCTTGTCCTCAAGAAAACTCGAGTCCACCAAGCTTGGCACTGTCGTGGCCAAAGTTTTTAGGGCGACAACAGATAACTCCTTCTTGAATAAGTCCTTCGGCCGGCCATGAAGCTCATCACTGTGCGGGTCTGCGCCTCCTGAGGCAATGGAGCTGCAGGCTGAGACAGCCAATGCAGCTAGATTCATAACATCTTTCCTTGCTTTGCGATCCGGAAACGGGGACGGGCATCGAGAAATGAAACCGCCTAATACTCGTAAAACTGCAAGGGGTGTCGCTTTCCGCTTCGCACCAGAAAGTGCTTCTTTCAGGAATGCGTGAGTCGTCGAAAAAGCATTTTGCAGTTCCTCAACATCCCGGCGAGTTGCGAAGAATACATCTAGAAAGTTAAGGCATGCAGTTTCAATCCTTCTGGGAGAATATACAGCGAAATAGTCACCCCAGTGGAACAGGTCTTGGTGTCCGAATGCGGTGGCGCCGGAGCTACGAAACAAGCCATCCTCCAGTTCAAGTCCATCCGACCCTCCCGGAAGCGAAGAACCAATCTCGACAGGAGATAACCGACCAATCTCCCTAATATCCTCATCGCTTATTCTATGATCGCCACTCTCTACGAAATGGCGGAGAGTCTGACGGGCCTTTTCTCGAAAAGTGGCTTGTCTTTTGCCTCCTTGGGCATCAGACGAGCTGGCATCCCACTTTGCTGCTCGTTCGAAAATACCCTTGACCGAATGTATCACGGCATCCACCGAAGCATCGTCGATGGCATGCAGCACTTGGCATGCCATCACTGATGAACAGCTTCCGGTGTCTCGTTGCGGAAGTATACCGAAATCCGTCTGGTCTTGGCTGAACAGAGCTACTATTGACGCGATGACATCCGTCGGCCGAAGCTCGAAGATTGGCTCCAATATTGATAAAATGGATGCTCTTTGAGCTTGCCGTCGCTCCCGCGGGAGCTCCATCGACAAGCGCGGTGGAGCTGTGTCCCTCGATCGCGGTGACATCACGTCTGGAGTATCTCGGTTTAGGTGTGGGTCAGCAACAGGTCCCCATACAATTGCCAAATTTTCCAGAACTCTAGGCAGAAGACAAAACAGAATGCGAGCACCAGATCGCCGAGGGTCGAGCATGTGATGAGATCCCTCTGAACCCGCTCCGCTGAGCACATCTTTCACGAAATCATTGATCATACGCAATGGGTTTATGGCGTTAATCATGGAAGCTGTCGCCGTGCCAACGTTGCGTGGTGTTTCATGCGTAGGGAGCGTGTTTGGGTCCCCGTTTTGTGATTGAACGGAAACAGATTTTCGTTCTGTGTCATCAGTGATGGCCAACCTGTCACTTGAATTGGCTATGACGATTGCATCTTTCAAAACTGGTCCAGCCGCAGTCCTCAATGATGCATCAAGCATTGCGGAATTCGATCTAATATCTTCTTTCAGTTCCCTGTTAACAAGAGCGTACTCAAAAGACCACAACACATTTGACGTAACTATTCCAATTCCTTCTAGCAGAACAAGAATTTCATCGACTCGAGAAAACTCACTGTCGCTACGGTGCACATCTGATGCCACTTTCCTATTTTGAGCACTAACAAACTCATCCAAGATACACAGTAGTCCTTCCGTCACCACAGGCAAAGTTATGCCGATGTGGCGCATGACCATTTCCAGGAAATGAATCCACCTTCGTCGCACTCCCAAGATCTCATGAGATCCGCCATCGTGTTCTATCGATGCCGTTCGGTACGTGAGAGATACGCCTTCCAGTAGCCACGGAACGAAGTGCTTCAAAGTTTCAGCCGCACCGACTTGTAATCCTCTTCTTGAAGCATCTTGTGGTTTAACACTAGGAAGCTGGTTCTGGCTTTCCGAGTAGGATAACCGTACTCCTCCATCAGATTTTGAAAAGGCATCCTTCCCTTGTACTGATGATAAATAGCAAGGGCCGTCCGCTGCCACCAAAAAGGTAATTGCATTGAGGAAGTGCAACTGAAGGACAGGGTCGACATTGCCAATGTTGTACGTTACCAACGACAAGATTGGTTCAGCAAGTACGCTAGAGATCATAGAACTCAGTTGAGTGGATACCGGAATGGCACGAAGCAATGTGGCCAGACACTCGGCTGCCGCAGCGGAAACTCCCACATGAAGCTCTTTGAGTGACTTATACCCTAGTCCAGCCATTAGCCATTCAAACTCGTCATCAGCAATATCTGAAGCAGATCCTTCTGCTCCCAAAGCTGGCTCACTGGACTGGGCCCTTTCTGTTGATGTTCTTTGAACGGACGCAAACTTGGGGGGAACTCTTCCCCGAAGATATCCGAGACAAGTTACGGCGATACCGATAATGTAATTTTCAGCAGGGAGAAGCTGATTTAATCTCACGTGTCCCTCTACATCCGAAACGGCAATTGGATGAACCGAGTCTCTCTCTGTAACCCCCCTTGCCTTTCGATCGAGAGCAAACACGGCAGCTAGCCCTTGGTGTGTCCGCGCCGATACGTGTGTTGTTGCAACGGCCCGTATACCTGTACGCCCTCGCTTTCTCTTCCTCGTAGAAAGTTGCGAACTTAAATTCAATGCCTGTTCTTGTTCACGACTAGACCCCACAATGGAGGTGCAGCTTTCTAATATTCCCCGCATCACTTGAAACCCGTAAAGCGCACGTGGAGCATCGTATGCCGCTGCGAATTCGTGCTGCGTCCCGGTACTTCTTGACTCTGGGGTCAACAAAAGCCGTAGTGGCGCATCAAGGACAGACGCAGAATCCACTTCCACGGCGTCAGATAACCAAGAACGCGCCAACATTTTCGGCGCCCAATCTTCATCTGTAAGGGCGTCCAGCATTAAGAAAAGTCCATCGTCCGCTGGAAGAGGCATGAGTCTGTGTTCCACAGATAAGCGCCAAAGGCAGGCGAAACGCTCCAAATTGCGAAGTCTTCGAGACGAATCCGTTGAAAGGATTCCGTCAGCAACGACGATTTTCGTCTCCTCAGGAAAACGACGCTGCAATCCGAGCAATGCTTGCGCACTTTGGGCAGTTGCCGTTCGCAATGAAGGGTGCATCTGACGCCAACACCTCCGGATGACACCAAGGGCTTGTTCATCATTTCCCAGTGTCGCTGGGATGTGATGCGATGCTCTCGCGGATACCTCAACAAATGCTCTGGACCCAGCAAGGGAAATACAAACATCAGCAGCGCTAGCACATTTCGCAAGGGCCTGCAGGGAGGACCGCAGTGTCTCTGCATCATTAACCCCAAATGACGCCGCACTTACAAAAAAAGAGCATGCTCCTTTGGCCACGCTAATGTACTGGTGGCGGGTTTCGCAAACAGACGCCATTCGCAATTCAGCAGCATGCTCATCCGCTATCGATACATCTTCATAAGCCCGTCTCAGTTCCACTGGGGCCGGTTCTACAGCATGTGCTAGCCATGCAACAAAGAAAGAAGCAAAGGACGAAACAGCGGCTTTGACATCTGCAATCACAGATTTCTCGATACGGGTCATTCTCGAGAGACCCAGTGATTTGATTGCCGTGCTGCAGAACGCGACCGCTTTCTCCAGCGTCATGGAATCTGTGGAAACTGCGTTCAGGGATTGAACCACCACTAGTAAAATAGCAGGTATATGCTTCTTCTGGACAACATCGTTTGTTGTAGGAAACAAGGAAAGCGCGAAAGTAAGCAGTTCAAAATCTTCTTGACCTTTCTGAGCTTCATTCGCCAGCATCCTTTCCAGTTCTGCAAAAACTACTGCGCTGCCCAAGTCCTTCAAGAAATCCGAGATCGCATTTCGTATATCCCTCTCATGCTTGTGGTCATCTCTGACTGCCGCTGCCCTACCATACTTCAACAGTCGAAGAGCAAAGTGATGCCCAAGGCACTCCGACAGCTCCGTCCTGTCCATAAGAGCTGCCGCAATGCGGCAAGGGCGGGTCGCGAATTTTGCATTTTTTCCGTCGAGGCCGTGTAGCAGTAGCGTGAACTCCCGGTCGATTGACGCAAGCACTAACTTGTTCGAGAACTCTTTGCAAAACGCAATACCATCCTCCCCCTCCTTCCCTCCGAGCAACCAGGCATGAACGCGTTTTGTTAAGCTCATGTCACGTCTCATCAATGCGCCGAACACACCTCCAACAAGCGCAACCGCTGCCTCATGCTCCTCTGCCTTAGATGACTGAAAGAAGGGCGAATCTAGAGCCAACTCGCCAAGAAGCAAGTCGAGAACGCTACGCTGCGCTAGTGCGTTACTATCTGACAGCGCCTCCGTAATTGCGTAGGCGACAAGCGGCATGTCACTGACGACTTCCATACGCAGATGTTCATCGTCGGAAGAGAGCCTTAGGCCGAGATAATGGGCTGCGGAGAGACGCGTGGGCGGGCAGAGTAGCAAAGCCCGCCAGAGAGAGCGCGCGAAGGCGCCTACGTCATGCACAGCCTCTCCAAGGTTGTCCAGTAGGTTTCGCGAGCGAACGTAAAATTCGGAGCTTTCTTCTTCCACACCAGGCAAGACCGCCAAGACGAAGCCATCCAGGATTGGAATAAGCGCGGCGCCGAGAGGCAGGAAATGAGTCTCATAAAGTGATAGGAGCGGTACCTTCAATGAAGTAGAGCAATACGAGAATAGGGGAAAGAGACCGCCAGCGTAAAGTGGGAGGTCATAAGCTAGACGAGCTGGGCCGATGCGACTAAAGACAATGTGATACGTTTCCAAGGCTTTGAGATGGACGCCAGATGGAAGGAATGAGGTGAGGCATTGCGCCAGCCTCTTCGCAAGTAAGGCCTTTTCGGGTAGAAAACGGGAACTGGAATGCTTGTTGAGCACGCGATTCACCCTTTGGAGGTCATGAATGAGATCCTAAGCACATAAAAGTGCAATTTCCCACATCAGGTAGCAAATCGTAGATTGTTGTCAGAAACTGGCCTGGCAAATAGGGAATTTGACGTAGAGATGAAAACGTACAGCCCAATCTTGCGCCCGATCGAAGGCCGCAAGAGCAGCGGAGAGATCCGAGCGCAACAGGCCAAACTGCTTGCTTTGTCCCGGCGTAAGGTGTCGCTCCTCATCGGAGTCCATGACGGCGGGCGTGAGCAAAATCTGGAGCCGGAGGGTGTGTCGTGACAGTTGCGGCGGCAGTGGATGAGTTAGTGAGACAAAGATGACATGGGACGCATTCCGCGAAGTTCACTTTGAATGCTTTCGTTGGCGTCGCGTTACCGTCAGCACTCATTCATTCTTGTTAATAATACGACAACGCGTGATGAGAATCAATGACGAAGGTGGGGAGAGCGAAAAGTAGACTTTCTCAACGGTTGGAGTGGCCATGCAGTGTTCACGTGTAGAAGAATTGTTGCTATCACTGTAAGGATAGAAGCCGAAGTTTTTCCTTTTTAATCTAGATGACAGCAATGCAGACGGTGACGTCTCAATGTAGACGCAGCCTCGGTGGCGGCCATTCGCGCTCATCCGTGTGATCGAATGCACATAACTCGTCTGTTCTAAACCAAGCCCTCTAGCTAGTACTGTAGAGCCAGCTAGCTACAGTAGTGCAACAGTCCAGCAGTTATTACTCTCTTCTTCCGTTCATCAGCCCTTTCGACTTGTTTTTGTCTCAGACGTCTACCTCTTTTCTTGCGGTACAGCGGAAGCCAAGCTACATCTCATTTGTTTCCCGTACCGTTTGCCGTCACAGCGGTGCGCTATTTCTCCTGCCAAAGTCCTTTCTGTCCCGGAAGTGAATTAAGCCCTTGCCTCGACTATTCGCATGACTTAATCTTGAACAGCACGGCTTGTTTGCACATTAGAAAAGATAGTCAGCCAGTGGCATGGTAATTGTTACTAATCGCATCGTCTAATGCCTTGAACAGCACCATCTCTGAAGCGCTTTGATTTCATATTTTACACTGTTGGGACGTGAAGGTTCAAATAACTTTGTCACTCACACCCCAAATGATCACGGACATACAGAAAAATCGTGTAGCTCACTTAGTTCACAAGTCTGTGATGACATCATATGACAAATTGGGGAAAAATGCGCAGCGCAGAGAAAAGCTTAAGAAGGCACTAGTCTCACAGAAAATGAGCCGAGCAACGCTCTAACGTTCACTGGTAGCTTCTTGATCGCTCGCCTTCGCCAACAAAACCGTCCGAGCGGTTAGTGACCTTCAGAAATGATTCTCATCCGAGTGACGACTCACCCTACTGGATCTCAAAGGCATTCGGCACAACCCTCGCCAAAGTGTCCACATCCACCACTTCGCTGGATTGAAGCACAGCCCGATGCGAGCTAACCAGCAACATCATCAACTCTGGATACGTGTCGTCGATCCGAATTTCTTGGGGAAGACCTTCAATGAATCTTCGGGACTCAGAAATGTTCTTCTCGCCCGATTGATTCGACCATTTTAGAGATCTCATCACAAACTCGAAGTCAACGGCCATCGGGTTTGAATAACAGCCTTCGTTAGTGATCCCACTCAGCATGGTCATTGTAACGAGTGCCCTTTCGCGTACAAAGTCTCCCACCTTTTCCGTCATACGTCTGAAGTTACCCCCTGTCTTCATATCGACCATTGGGTCCGCTTGCAGTTGGCAAAATTGGTAGTAGTTATTAGAAACTGCACACTTGAACATCGCGTATGCGTGGTCAACAAACATGTCATCCATGACACCGGGTGGTAAGGCCCTTAGCCTTGTCACCAGAGAAAACAACCGTTTCTGTCTTGCCCGAGAAGTGAGCCTAGGTTGCAAGCCGTGTTGTGCTTTGAATAAGCCAGAAATTATCCAATAGCCAATGTATTCACCGTCCCCTTCTTCAAAACTGTCATGGGAGTTGTGGAACTCAATCACGTGAGCGCAAGAAATTGTGCACCCCGTCCAGTCACCTCGCCGAATGGCTGCGTCAATCTGCATATGCAAACACTGCTTTAATGATCCGATCCTGTTCTCTTGTGCAGTAAACCCCGATATTACCTCGTCAAGGCCTCGCCGCCATGAATTATAGTCGAACTCCTGAGACTCGTACTTCGATCGCAAGTCCCTATACTTCATGACCAAATCGTTGTTTGGGACCTGACCGCTGTGGGATTTCGATGTTCTCCATGTTCTCGGAAACCTCTGTCTGTATCTTACAGCAACAGCTTCACTGATACCAGAATTGCAAATTGAGGACAAGACACAGGCAGCTTGCGATAATTTCCAGGAAACCTTAACCGGTGCCTCTATGATCTGTCTCTCAGGAAGTGCAAGTTGGTTGGGCTCGCGAATTCGATCACTCGATACGTTAACTCTTTCAATGTCCTCATTGCCACTAGGAGCTGAAGTAGGATTCTTGGCAGCCGACGAAATTCCGCCCTGCACTTCTGGAGCTAGTACTAAATCGTCTCGGACTTCTTCCACAGTGGGGTTCGGTGCAGCCGATACAATTTCTGCCAGGTCGGTGGATGATGGATGCGTCAACAAAGCTTGTCTCCTCTCTTCGTCCATCTTTCTTTTCTCTTTCTCCGAGAACACCCTATCCGTGAACACGGACGGCTGTGCCTGGCGGTAATGAATACCAGTTGCGGCTGGCTTCCGGCCCCAACTTTCCTGCATCATGGTGCAGTTGTCCGTGTGATACCTAAACTCGAATAGAATTTCTCGTTGCACCGAAGCGACAATGTTTTGGTCATTTGCCGCATCAGCAGCTGCCTTGGCGCCCTCGATGGATCTATTCGCCCATCCCTTAAAGGACTTGGTCCATTTTGCCGCATGCTCTTTCACGAATGCAGCCATCTCTTTTAGACCAATCGCTCGTACCACTGGTTTCCCTTCAATTTTTTTCTCATCCTTCACGTTGCTTTGAGTAGCGGCCTCAATCTCGGCTTTTCGCATCCTCATGTGGTTGTCGAGATGATCCTTGCTCCGGTCATGCAACGCTTTGGCATTCTCATCGTAGAAATCTCTTTCACAAACGTCACAGTACAAAGATACTGTCAGAAACTCCTGTGCCTTGACATACTTACCGATTCGACCCCCGGGCACAAACTTTCTCTTTTTTCTAGATGTCAAATTGTCGTCATGCTCCGGAACTGGCGCCGGTCTTGGCACCCTAGCCGACGCAAACAGAAGCCCCGACCCTCTCCCCGACGGCGGCGTCGTCAAACCAGAACGCCAATCCCTGTTCATATCCTCACGATGATGTGAATCGGCGTGCGAAGCCCCAACTCCCACGCGTTCCCTTTGTTCATATGACTGACGTGGCCGGCCATATCTCTCCGTACCATCTCTATCATACGAAGACCCCCATGACCCATAGGAAGATGCAGCGTGATTTCCGCCGTACCCCCTACTAGGGCCCCCACGATTCTGGTGTGAGGCGTAGGAGCCTCTCGCACGCCAAGCTCCGCGGCCCCGGTTTCTGCGCCCCCCTTCTCCGAAGAGCTCTCGAAATGTGGGCTCTTTCACACGATGCGCGGACCCTCCGCCCTCACGCTGCCGATATGCTCCATCGTTAGAGTGAGGTTGACTACGCGAGCGATCGTTTCCACGAGGGCTGCTATGGGTATCGGGCTGTCTGTGTGGTTGACCGTCACTAGAGGCAGAGTTTTCAAAGCCAGAGAAATATCTTCCTCCTGTCATCGAGTTGTAAAGGTCGTTTTGTCAAATGGGCAAACCTCGAGACTATGTTGACGTGTGAGGATGAGATGATGTCAAGGCGTCAACAGATGCTGTTCTCGACACCTATTCGAGTGCTTGTCGCCAGCGGGAAGGCGATAAAAATTTCCCCTTTAATGCGCACAGCAACGAACTCTCCATAGATAAGAATGGAAGGGGGAGCAAGTAGCAAACAGACTCCGATGCAAAGGCTTTTGGAGAGCGCTGCAGACGTGGATGGGAGACTTACTTTCTCACAGAATAATAGGAGGGAAACGGATTTGTTGCCAACCTGATCTGCAGATCAAAGCCGTCACACATCCAACACGTGACCACGTGTGTCCTACACGTGGCCACGTTTCCTACAGCGGTAAGGACGAAACCTCGTCCTCACCGCGCTGCCAGCCGAGCGATAAGGCTGTCTGTTCCTAGGAACCCGTCCAGGATGTGCGACAAGGAGTTTTTTTTTGTTTGGAACACTGAGTGTCTTTCCACAAAAAAATTGGTGGACCACGGTTCATCTCATCTAAAAAACAGCTATTCGAAACAGCTGTGCCTTGGATTTTCTGGACAGAGGTTGTTCCGATACGCCATATCATGGATTTGAACTCTCCGGTTGGAAGAGCCGCAGTAGCCAAAGCCTTACTTCAATTGACGATCTAAAACTGACTAGTTCGGTGTCTTTCAAGTTTTGTCGTTCTCAAGACCTCGTGTGAACTGCAAAATGAATAAACTCAATGAAACCGAGTGAACCTGCTATTGCTTGGGCCGAGTTCTTTCTGCCACTCAGTATGTGTCGGGCTTGAGTCAAGGAATCTAAATCTCAACCTATAGTCAAGCGGCTTGACTATGGGTTGAGATTTAAATTCCAGCGATTGCCTTACGGTTTCTTTGGCATGCAAACACGCGTCACTCTGCCATGGCATGGTTCTGCAAAAAGTTCAACGTAGAAACCATACCACGTGGGGACCCCAATATGACTCCAAAACGAAATCCAATTTCTGTTTAGCAAGAAAACGTTTAGTACCTTTGGTCCTTCCATAGTCGATGGCGCCCGGTCTTGAAATATAGAGAATGGCTAAGCCTCTCAAACAAGAAGAAATCATTCCACGAGCGCAGTGGCCCTTCCATAAATGGTTTCTTAAGATTTCCACACTAGTGCAGGTCCCTCCTGTACGTACACAAATGCAATTTTGCAGATATATGTTTCTGGATCGAATGAGGGAAATGATTTTTCATCGCAACGACGAATGGATCTCTCAATGCACCCACGAACGACATGCTTTTGCTGCTGTCTCAACTTAATGTCTTCAAAATCGGAGACAGTTACCGTCGTCGTCTTGAGATCGCAAACTGTCTAGTCTTCGGAATGACACCATTATTCTCTCACATTCTAACCCTGTTTGGAGGAAACATACGTGGAATCAGTCCTTCGCATTGGAGGCGCACCACTTGAAGGTGGATCGTTTCAAGCCCCCCATTACTATATAAAGAAATGGATCCCGTTCAATATCAATAGACCGGGCGGGCCCAGAATAGCAAACTACAAGAAAAGCGTTAAAAAACGGAGGCCACGGCTCTCAAACAAGACCCAGCGCAACCCGTATTCAAATCACAAAATAAGTTTCTGTCTCCCTCTTGTCCACCGTACGAAAAAAGTTCCCACGCAAACCAGGGCCTTCCAAAGGACAGTTGCATCGCATAAAGCATAGCGTATGAGTCTTCCTCCAGTCGGGTACACCTCTGCTCTGTGGCTTTTCTTTCCCCCGGCAGCAACGGAGATATAGCGCAGATACCCAGCCGGACAAGACATTCATCCAACCTTTCACATCCGCATTCGCAGATTCAAGACCCCAATAGAAGAATGAGCAACGCTCAAAGCAATGACCCCTCGAAATCCTCACCCCGAACCTCCTCGTGTCGCTTCCGCGGTCGACCCGGCCCGATGAGTTTGGCGACTATAGTTCATGAGAAGGATATCCCCTGTGTTCAAGCATGCTCAGAGCAGTCAGCTCCGGTCGAAAACTCCTCGATTGCACGTGTCGGGACTCCACATTCTGATGAAACCACGCGTTTAAAGAACGAGAAGAAGAGACAATGGAGAAAGAACCTAACTCCAGATAAGCGAAATATTTCTCGACAGCGAGATGCGGACCGAAAGCGTAAGAAGCGGCAGATGCTTACTGAGCAACAGCGAAGTGAGGAGAGGCAAAAGGATGCACGCCGCAAAGCAATGAAACGGAAAGCAGAAAAGGAACAAGCAACCATGAAATGTGCAATCCAGGGTAGTGCTTCTGACGGATCGAAGAAGAATCCTCGTGCAACTAGGTAGTGAAGGGTTTGCCAGACGAGTTGCTGTTTTGTCACATTGTCGCAAGTTTCGGGCAACACAATCACAAATATTTTATGTGCCTTCCCAATGAATGCCGAGGCATCCAGTTGAAAAGAAATATGTGCATTGCCGCAATGAATTCGTAGCTTGAAACTTCCCGATTGTGTTCAATGCGAAACCTGAAAAAGTAAACAGTTTATCTGCATTGCTAGAAAAATCTTGTTTCCAGAAACGTCTCAGGCATATCTATCAGAACAATACAATTCGTTCAAAATTCATGGTCGCGTTATCCAGGAAAAGGTCTCTAGTCATCTCGTTCCCTCTCTTCCTTGGGCATTGCAAAATAATGCATATGGCAAGAAGAAGAGGGACAAAGAATCGCTCGACAATTATATGTTGCCGAAGCGAGTCGCAAACCTTTTTTTATGGACAGCCGCACGTCGCTTATCATATCAAGGCCAAGGACACAAGTTCGCGGTTAGAGTTGATTATGTGCATGCACAGGTTCGTCAGACTTTCTCGCATGGAGTACCGCGTCGTATTGAAGACGATACAAGAATGGACCATTGGTCACGAACTAATGATGAGCCTCTGGACTGTAAGAAACGGGTTCCGGAACCCCTTTCGGCGAGCTACGGCTCCACTCGGTGTACTGTGCTACATACATTCATGTAGATTACTAGGCTAGTAGAGCAAGTCTTGTGTTATATTCCGATGAAGCTTGTGTTTGTGGTGCTAACACTGTGATGATAACCATACACGTAGTACACGCATCACAGCCACGCACAGACGACGGCGAGCGGCGACTAGCCTTAACAGTCCGTCAGCTTAGTAAAAATTCGGAAATCGAGATTATCATAAGTACATGTTCTGAGATTGGGTGCATCCAGAAAATAGCACTCTAAAACACTTTACCATTGTATGATAGTTTCAAAAATTGATTGTCCCCACCACTCTTGCACTCCATCACTGCCCTTCCGTGGCGGTTCCACCCCAGTTGGAACATGTTGCGAACTGTACACCCACTCGCACCCCCACTCGCCGACAACCTCCCCATCCCCTAATCCCAAAGCGAGCCACACCTTCCTCCTCAAACCTGGCGCCCGCATTCTGACACTGTCATCTCAACATGGCATCCCTTTTGGACGGATCCGATCCTCCCTCTCAAGCTACCCCTTTCCCTCAGCCACCATCCACGCCAAACTCCCCACGCACCCCCAAAAAACGCTCGACACCTGACCAGGAGGAGCTCAGTACTGGCGAAGGAAGCAACAAGAAGTATACTGTTTAGCAGTAAGGGCTTCGTGATATTTACGGATACAAGGAAGTCGGAGTCTTTCCCGAACGAGAGAAGCACGCGCCAAGGAGTGGACCGCTGTGTGCGAGGGCTAATAATGGCTGGGTGAAGGGTACTTTGGGTTCTTGTTGCGATGACGGCGCTTGCGGCGCATTGTTGTCCTCCTCCGGGCGACAAGACATGTCGTCAGAGCTGCTAGCGATACTGCTAGAGCTGACAGAGTGTGCTTGCGGCTATTCTGAAAGGGCATTGGCGAAGCGGGCATCACCGACAGCTCGAGAGAGGGGTCTTGGAATGTGGAACTCCAGTGCGCAAGGATGGAATGGGAAGTGGTGCGGGAGTGGTGGAGTGGAGAGGGGTCGAGAGGGGTTGATCAGATGTTCAAAAGTAGTCAGCCGGCGACCACTTTATCGGTCGCTGATTGGTCAAAAAAGTAGTCGAGTGATACAGTGTTATTTTCTGGATGCACCCATTTCCCGCCTTTCCGAAAACATCACAATTTGAAGTTCTCCGTCCAGGTTTGGCGCCTTTTAAGTAAAACCGACACTTCAACATGTCAATTCTGCTCTCACCCACATCCGTCGGTGTGCAAACAAGGGTGTCTGTATTCGCAGATGTATTACGCATATGTCCACGGAATCTCAGTATTCAAGAGAGCCGGACGCATTTGTGGCAATGCAGAATAGCAGTAAGAATGTCAGTTCGGACCCTTGGAACGTCTCAAAGGAGGGCGCCTGTGAGGCTTGTGGAGAAAACAACAGAAAAAGGCCAACTACCATTGTCATTCTGAATGATAAAGATCTACTGAAGCGAACCAAGATTGATACCTCACCTCTATCTAATCCCTTCAAAGGAAGAACAGCAGGAAAGATCCGTCTTTGCACTAATTGTCGTTCAGCTACG